CATACATAAAAACATACATATATACATAAATACATAAATACATACAAACATACATAAATACATACATACATAAATACATATATACATACACGCATACATACATACACACAGATACATACATTACATGCATACATACACATACATATATGTCGTGTCAAAACTATGTATTTATACGTATATATAGAAATAAAATGAAGCATGCTAAATGTAATTAAGTTAAACTGTTGATGGGGGAATAACCAAAAATTGCATGTGTATGTGAGACGCTGAATGGGAGGGGACGTTGCATGTGTGAGACGTCGTATGTGAGACGTTGAATGGGTTTTTTTATGGAAACTGAGGAGAGTGGAGGTAATGATTAATCCGTAATTGTAGCGACTAGAAGTGACCAACGGTAGAAGGACACAAGAGGGAAGTGATTGGGGAAGAGAAAAGATAGTTATATAGGTGCATATTTACATATATGTGTATAAAATCAAATCTACATATATGTATATGCGACACTTTAAGGGAGAGGAAAAGCTGAACTGGCCACACAGAGATGTGCAGAAACGAAACTATACATGTTAAGATTGTTCTAAAAACTTATCATCGCTTCACCACGGGCTTTAAGTACAAAATAATAAAGCACGTACCGCTTGTTCTTGTGTGATGCCGTAAAGCGTTGGCGATTTGACCATGCGAATATACAAATAGGTATATCCGAGCCAATTCATCGCATCACTTACATTGTTAATCGTCCCAAGGACTACTTCTGCATTCAGTGTATCCGCCAATTTCGAAATCATCTGACTTTCAATCGGCAACTAAACATTTCATATGCTACTTCATAAGCACAGATGAATTTACATTCTTTATTTCTTTGTTCCAAACAGAACTGTCTGTTTTTTTTTCACGCGGATAAAACCGCCCATTTTGGGGATGAGGTGCCGTATATGCATGCAGATTAAGTACTCAAAGTTTCAGCCTTGTAGTTTTTGTAGGTCTCGAGATGAAAAATCGGTACAGACGCCCAGCGCACACAGAGACACCGCTGCCGAGGGATTGCCTGTGTGTGTACCTGTGTGTGTCTTTGTGGGCGTCTGTACCTACTTTTTACCTACTTTTCATCTCGAGGCCTATAAAAGCTACAGAGCTGGAAATTTGGAAACTTAATCTACATGCACATACGGGCCCCCACCCAAAAAATGAGTTCTCTTACCCATGTGGCTCCCACGTACGAGGTCGTCAAAATTTTAGCGCGGGTAAGCCGCTAACTCGAGAACTAGAAAAGCTAGAAAGTTGAAAATTTAAAGCGATGTTTTCAGACAATCCTAGTGGCCAGTTTCAATTCTCTTAACTAGAAGATCTGCCTAAAAACCAGTGTTGTTAACAACAAAAATCTGCGGGGAACTATGCAAAAAACGCATCTTCGCATCGGCAGTCGGTACGCAGGCCATTTAAATTTATGAAAAACTGAACTAGCCTGCTGGTTCATGAGCGACAAATAGTACTGCAATTCTGAGTGATGCGTTATCATGACACCTTTGCCTTTCGAGTCATACTGAGGTCGTCCAGCTCGACCAAGCATCTGTATTTCATTAATAAAATGCAAGTCAAAAAACCAATTTCAACCCCCCCCCCCTTCTCCTCCTCCCATTCCACCTATTGCGAATATCTCTTTCAAACGCTCACTTTCTCAACCTCTGCTCCACCTTATTTCCCCAAAATTACAGCTCAGTTCTATCGCGTAATATATCAAACAGTGATTAATGGTTTTTGTTAAAAATAGATTAAAGATCAACTGCGTTACTACGGCGCAGTACCCCTGTCCCTGGTTCAAACTTTAGCCGCCCTCCCTCATTGAACTTCCGATCTTTGTCCCTTGGGGTATAAAAGCACTCCTCCCCATCTCCATTACCGATCTCCACTGCGACTTCTACACAACTACTATTCCCATTCTGGGAAGCTTCGGCTCCCCAGAGCCTCACCTACTTTTTATACCTTATCCTTTTACTGTATTATGTATAATAAACATGTATATAGGGCGCGACGTGTTACACACACACACACCTACAAACGGGGCACACACTAGTCTAATAATCTACTATTATGGTCGCGATAGTTCAAAATCTCGATCCTCAATTTGCTGTCCAGACCAGCCATTTTTCTCCATCCCAGCCCGTTTCTGAGAGAAAACCCTAATAAAAGTCCCCAACTCCAACTACAGCATCTATCTGTAGAGGTTGCCCTTGAAATTTGGTACATTACCTGCATCACATCCAGTGCACCAAGTTCTGTCCAACGGCCAATTTCTGGACTGTAAATTTGTGTACCTTTGATGATCACAGTGTGTGCCGGCAGATTCACGCCCCAGGCTAGTGTTGCTGTTGATACAAGCACC